GTTCGCGCGCGATCTTTCGATTGGCGGAATCGGAGTAGAATAGCTAGGTGGCGACAGATGGCGCGACAACGACCAATCGGTGTGCAGAATTGGTGAAACTCGCGCGGCGATTGGTCGAAAGGGTTCTGGTCGGTGTAGCGATTCGTTTGGCCGCTTGTTCCCCGCGTCGTCCCGCGACGGCTGCTGAGCGCCGGCCAAATCGTCGTGAGCGAGAAAGAGAAGAAGAAACGAATGCGCGCTCGCTTCGGACCACGGGTTCGTCGTTAATCATCGTTATCGGCGTGCACGAAACCGTCAACCGATTCGCCGCGGCGAGAGACCGATATTATTGGAGCACAGTGAGCGATTGCTCGTCTCTGAACGCGCATCGTCGTCTTCGTCGTACTCGTCGTCACGATAGTGTTCGTCGACTCGGTCGAACATCGTGTCGCGTCGCGTCGCGTCGTGTCGTTCTCTTTAACGCGAACGTAATTTTTGCTCGAGAGTTCGTATCCGTTCATCTCTCGTCGCCGAGTTCCAGTGTCGAGACGATCTAACCACGCGACGACGGTCATTCGATCCGAACGAAAAAGGCTGATTCGCGCGTTTTCCCTGCTATTTCGTGTTTACGGATAGATCGGACGACTCGTGCGTCGTTACCGCGTGATCGCGTGTGCTATCGTCGAACGTGTGCCGGCCGTGCGATGAACGGCAACGATAGAACGCACGCCGAGAACAGAGGACGAAATGGCCACGTGTTGGTGTGGGAGCAACCCGGCCTGGAAGAAGAGGACAGACCTGCGCGGAAACGAAAAAGTACGTTCCTATCCGAGTTTGTCGCGCGCGCGCGCGCGCAGGCACGCGACTTCCATTCTCTTTTCGAGAATAGCCGTAATTCGCGTCGAACGTCGAAACGTGCTTACTTCGTGAATCGTCCATCGAAACCACGTGCTTCCGCCGTTACTCTCCTTTCCCTTCTCTTCTCTTCTCTATCTCCGTTTTCTACTATCTCTATACGTATATATATATAGATATCTCTTTCCAACCATTTAAAGGAAATCAAGGCGTATCGCGAATAATGCTTCGACTAGTTACGCTTTCTTTTTTACCCTATCCGTTTGTGTCGTCGGAAGGGCGAAACACCTGGCGATCCTTCGAAGGGGAGAGAGAAAATTTAAGAGAATAGAAACGTGTGCGAGCCTCGTGTAAAGAATGCAAGACCGGTGACTGAACGATAAACTCGGTATCGGACGATCGAGCATGGACTTTGACACTTCGATGCCGATTCCGGGAATCGTACGTATTGCCGACAATCGCGAAACGAGCCATTCGTGACTAGCGAAAATGCCGCGAGCTATCGTCATCGAATCGTTTGACGCGTCGCGTGTGCGTCCCGTGCGTTCTCTTCCCCCGCTTAACTTGTCTCGTGCTTTCGTTCGATCTTCTCGATTCTACTTGTTCTCTTGTTTTCTTTCCTTTCCAACACTCTCCTCCGGGGTTCTCTCTTATTCTCTCGCATCGAACTTACGTAGCAGGAATGTTACCGCGCGACGAAGCTATTTCCACCGAGCAACCGGCCGACCACGTGCTCGACGAATGTTCGCCGAGTGTGACTGTTCGACCGATGACGCGAAGGGTGCGCCCGCGGCGCAAAATCGAAAATTAATCGCGGATCATGTATATCGGATCGAGTAATTTTCTTCCGATTCGCGTCACGAACGATTCTAGGAAACGCTTTCTAACTCCTTTAGGTTCGTGGAGCGAACGAGGTACGTTTCTGCGTAACTCGCGGCGAATCGTAAATCAACGAGTAAACAGCGAAAAGGGGGGATCGTAAAAAATTTGCGAAGCGCGCGTTGCCGGAAAGCTAACTTCGATTTCGACTCGACTGTCGATCGACCGCGAAACCGGTGGGGGGAAGATAAGAGGAGTGGGGACGTAGGATCGCGGTTGCCACGTGGGGAAAGAATTCGTTTCAGGGTCGCGTTCAATTTCTCGACGTAAAGATACGCGAATGAACGAGTTCGACGATGCGTCGCGTCGCTAAAATAAAGGTTGCGACCACTCTATTATTGAGCGCAGCCGTTATTATCTCGCGATGCGACGCGGTTGCACGTTGAACGAGTACGTTATAAATAACTGGCGCGTGGCGAATTTCGAGGATCGGTTTTGCGTTCGCGACAGGCCGAGAACAGGCGTCAGTCGGAGAGGCAGGAAGAAAGGGACGAGGGCAAAGTGACGAGCCAAAGACGGGAAGATGATCGCGCCGCTCGCCTCGACCTTGTCCCTCGTGCTCGGATTTGCCTTCGCGTCCTTGACGCGACCGCGTGCTTCTTTCCTCGATTCCCTAGCGATTTTCGACGTTACTTCGTCGATCGTTCTCGTATTTCTCGTTCCAGCCTCGAAACTACTCGCGCGATCGTCCGTATTCGAGCTCGTCGTCGAATATGATTTTCGTTTGACCCGCGGCCAAAGGTCTCGATTTGTCGCGTAATTGAAGGCGAAGCTTAACGAGCGAACATTTATCGTTGCAGCATTGGTGGGGTCGCGTCACGTAGTAACGCTAATGCTGTTCCTCGGCATGGCGAACGCCTACGTGATGAGGACCAACATGTCCGTGGCGATCGTCGCGATGGTCAATCACACGGCTATCACCGACGCTCACGAGAACGTACAGATCAACGAATGCGGAAACGACACTTTGCCGGCCGTAAGTAACAACGACCCTTTCCGTTTCCTGCCAAACGTCTCCCGATGTCGTTCGCGTATGTTTCTACAGCAAGTAACGGCGACACGTTTTCCTCGCAGAGTCATCACGATCCGAGCAGCGACGGAGATTTCATATGGGACTCCAAGATGCAGGGATATCTGTTGAGTTCCTTCTTCTACGGCTACGTGATCACGCAGATACCGTTCGGTATACTCGCGAAACGTTACGGATCGAAATACTTTCTCGGCATCGGGATGCTGATCAACTCGGTGTTTGGATTGCTGGTGCCCGTGTCCGCGCGCGCCGGTTACTACTATCTCATGGTCATACGATTCGTCCAAGGATTGGGCGAGGTAAGCCAGGCACATAGATCGTTTAGACACCGTGGCCACTGGCCGCGGGTCCGCGACTGCTCGCGAGAATTCGTAATCGAATGGGTGCGGCTTGACGCGTTCGAACAAAATCCGCGAGATACCTACTAACGATCGATACGCGTGTTACCTAGACGAGCGTATTTATGCAAAGAGGATACAGAAACCCGTCCTCGCGTGTGAACGCTTTTTTGATCGTTCGGGTGTATTTCCTCCCCCTAGGAATGGATTATCCCTATTGCAGGGTCCGATCGTGCCTTGCACGCACGCCTTGTTGGCCAAGTGGATACCGCCGAATGAACGCAGCAGGATGGGAGCCTTCGTGTACGCTGGTAAGCCTGCTCGCTGCGCCAAATATTTCTCGCTCGTAATCCTGTTGCATCCTGTTGTCGCGTCGCGTCTTATCGCCTCGAGGGAATTTCTACGACTTCTCTACCCGTTGCTCTCTTCTTCTTCTTCTTCTTCGTCTTCTTCTTCTATGCTTCTTTCCTTCTTTTTATATTTTCTTTCCACTATCCGATCAAATTTTCTCGCTCGACGTCGATTTCTCGATTTGCCGGGATTTTTCTGCACAGGTGCACAATTCGGTACCGTGATCTCGATGCCGCTGAGCGGTATCCTCTCCGAGTACGGTTTCGACGGTGGCTGGCCATCGATTTTCTACGTGTTCGGTGCCGTTGGTACCGTATGGTGTATCGCCTTCCTCATCTTCATTTACGAGGATCCAGAGACTCATCCTCGCATCGCGGAAGACGAGAAAAAGTATATCCTGAGCGCCTTGTGGGGCAACGCTGGAGTCTCTGTAAGTATCTTGATCGAAAAGTCGAAATTTTCGAGCGTACGAACGATTAAAATTCTGTTGATCCTTCCTTCAGTCTCCGCCGGTGCCGTGGGTATCGATCGTCACCTCTCTACCGTTCTGGGCCATCCTGATAGCGCACATGGGTCAGAATTACGGATACGAGACGCTGATGACGGAGTTACCGACGTTCATGAAGCAAATCTTGCACTTTGACATTAAATCGGTAAAGAAGAAATGGAAACGGAAAGGAGCGACGGGACGACGGTTTCGATGACGACGAAAGATCGACCGTAATTCTCGTCCGTGTTTCAGAACGGCACCGTTTCCGCGCTTCCCTACTTGGCCATGTGGATATTTTCCATGGTGATCTCTCACGTGGCTGACTGGATGATCTCCAGCGGGAAATTCAATCACACGATCACCCGTAAAATCATCAACAGCATTGGTCAATTCGGGCCAGCGATCGCGCTCGTCGCGGCTTCCTTTACCGGATGCAACTCTTGGTTGACCGTGGCCATCTTAACGGTGGGCGTGGGCTTAAACGGCGGTATTTATTCCGGATTCAAAGTGAATCATCTCGATATTTCACCGAGATTCGCCGGCGTGCTGATGTCTTTCACCAATTGCCTGGCTAATCTGGCGGGTTTGCTCGCGCCTATCGTTGCTGGATACATAATCTCTGGAACGGTAACGTGTCTTGTTATTTCGTCTTTATACTCGCCTCCCAAAAGGTGCACGATCACCTTATCTCGATTGTCGCGCAATAATATTCTTGGTCGTCTCCGAATCGTATTTGAAGATTAAACGAGCGGTATTGTTGCGCGGTATTCGATATTGCACGATATATTGACCGTCTGTAGATCATATTAGAAAGTTATACGGTATGTCGCGTAAATCAGACGTCTTTTAATTTTCTACGATGTTTCGCACGGTATCGTATAGAGGCCATTCTATTACGTAACATATTATACAACGATATTCGGTATTGCAAAATATGGTTATGCAATATCGAATACTGTAAAAGAATTTTAAACGTTTCGAGATACCGAAGAAAGGCCCGTTTTGTTTTTCCTTTCAGCCGTCGCAAGCCAAGTGGAGGCTCGTTTTCGTGATTTCGGCGGGTGTGTACGTCGTCTGTACAATTTTCTACGTAATATTTGGATCCGGACAGCGGCAATCGTGGGACAATCCGGAGAAGGACGAGGAGAAGCAAGAGAAACAAGCGCTGGACAGTGTGAAAACCATCGCCGAAACGCGGCATTGACGAACGGTGTAACGTGGTGTGTTACGCGTCGATTCTTCGTCGCTTTTTTCCAGGAACGCGAAACGATTAACCGTTCGCATTCGTTCGCGTTTGACCGAAGAGCCTCGCTGACTGCCACGTGATACTGCGAACGCGGTCTTGTTCTTTCTTCCGCTTTCCTCCCTTAATCGCCATGTTCGCGCGCGTTTCGTTGCGCGCAACTTACCTGTGATCCTTGGATCATCGAGGAGCTTCGAGCAGCGTGCGACGAAACGCGCAGCGAGAACGCATTCCGCGTGCATGGGAAAGCGTGACAGTAGATAAAATAGTTTAAGCGGGACGCGACGAACGGACTCGCGTCTCTCTTCGAGGGAAGGATGAAGCACGTTCGGTTAAACGATTTTCACGACTCGTCAGAGCCCTCGAAGGATAATCTGGACTATTCGATTCTTCCGGCCACGAAGAGTCATAATTACATGGTTCGTTCTTCGCTCGTGTGTTGACCTTAAATCGCACGCAATGTTTGTACAGCAAGTAAGTCAAACGGAACGTTACGTTTCTATTTGTTCCACAAATAAAATAAGAAACGCGCAAACGTGTGCACGTACGGAAGATAGAGAGGAAGAGTGTCTGATACAGAGAAAGAGAGAGAGAGAGAGCGAGAGAGAGAGTGCGTGTTTGAGAGAGAGCCAGAGAGAAAAAAATTTTACATTTTTATAGCACTCCTTTTTTTCATTTAACGAACGTTACGTGCCTTACGATCGTGAAGTAGGAATAAAGATAACGTCGAAGTTTCTTCGAATTTATTCGATCCGTTTCGGTGCATCGTTTTCCACAACGCGTCAGTTTCAACGATCGATCGATGCTAAAAGTCATCGTTAGAACCTCGATCCGGCTTCCAAAGGCGCGCGCGCGCGTGCATACGCGAGAGTGCTCGCGCGTCCGCTCGCCAAACACCGATTGCGTCGCGCGTTTACCTGCGCGCGCGATCAAACGGACGAACGTGGCAACAGTATTAAAATAAATATCCTCGCGTATGACTTCGTTTATTTCTTCGTATCGTACCGTGTTTTATCGCAACCAACTGCCATTTTGTATTGTACGACTGATACCGATCGCGGGAAAGATCAAAAAGAAACTCGATTACCAGCACCGTTGCGAGCAACGCGGTGCAATACAACAATGGTTTTATACGCGTTGCATAGATTATATTCGTACGCGTATGTTTTTACCAAACCGTAGGTGTCCGAAAACAATTATTGCCTCCATTTATTTATAAAACTTGTACGAAACAGAACAAAAGAGTAGAAGAAAGAATAGAAAGTATTGTCGGATGTGCTAGAAACGAGAAAGACATCGTTCGGAAGAAAAAAGAATTCGTGTTTGCACAGTAGAATGCATTTTCTTTTCTTTTTTTTTATTATTATTGTTGTGATTATTATTATTATTATTATTGTTGTTGGTATTATTATTATTATCATTATTATTATTACTAATATTATTATTATTATTATTATTATTATTATTATTATTATTATTGCCATCATCATCGTCGTCGTCATCGTCATTACCAAGTTCATTGTCATCGCGATTATAATCATAGTCATTAATGTCATTTTTGCCATACAGTTAATACGTATCAAGTATGCACCAAAGCATTGCCGGAATATGCTTCAGGATGTGAATAAGACACTCTGGAAGTATCGAAAATATATGTCTCTCTGCGTCGCGTTCGACTTCTTTTCGTTAATGCAGCCGACATTGTCGCGTATGTCCTGCTCGCGACGTTCAGCCCGCAATAAAATCGAACGTGGGTACCTTTTCAAGTATAAATCACTTTCCATTTGTTATCGCGTACGTATTTTACTACCTAGTATCGAGGAGCGTGCCGGACATCGAATGCGTGCGTCTCTTCGTTTTCCGCACGTTCGCTTCGGTCACTCGCGCAAATTCGAACCGTCGCGGATCCATTCAATGTACCTGTCATTTCCTGTGATCATCTGCCGAAAAACGTGTCTTCGATTACCTTTTTCAAAGTTATCGTAAGTTTCTTGCGAAAACTGTAGTCGGCAAACAACTTTGATCGTCGTTACGATTCGTTGTTCGTTTTAAATTCTTCTCGTATGCGCCAAAATATTTAATATTCGGTTGCGCCGCTGCGCTTTAAAATGCTTCGGATCCGTTCCTATAGTTGTCGTAGAATGCGCGTGCACATAGATGTACATATATACATGCATGTGTAGATACGTATGTATAGACGCGCCGTATGCTTGAATCAGCGTTACCGACGACCGTAACGCAAACAATTGTTAATAAATTGTACAAACTTCCATTGAGCACCTGTTAAATGATCGATTAAAACTGCGAGATTGATATTTTCTTATAAAACTATCGATAATTGATGCCTGTAAAACGATAATGTAATCTTTCTCAATCGTCCAAGATTATAATTGAGCGACCGGGCCGAAGGCGAGTGAAGCTCTTATACTTGACTTTGCAACTTCTTTGTCCGCGTTTTTCTTTTGCACCACTCAACCAATTCTTATCAAATTTTGTACGCACGTGCGTATGTACATCCAGATGGACATAGAAAAAAAAATTTTCAATCGGACTTGTCACGGAGGAATAATTACCGAAAAAACTGATCCTCATTGACTGTAAGGAAAATAAAAAATGAATATTTCGGCACTTTGGCGACGCAGTATGGTTCCTGAGGCATTTAGAAACAAATTTCTATTAGGGTTTGATGCGTTTTGATGCCTAATAAAGCCAGAAAATCAATTTTTGTCGAATTCGGTCGGAAAACGGTACAGGTGGCGCCATCTAGCGGCGAGCGACGGAACTACGAAAAACTAAAATTTCGATTTTCTCAAAAAATAGGGACTTTTCCGAAATTCTGAGATATACAAATTGTTCCTTATCGCCTACGGAATCGAATGAGTACTTTCATAGCCCTCTAGGATCCTTAGTAAAGAAATTGGAAAAATAGCCCATTTCATGGACCAAAAAATTGCCGTCCATCTAGCGGTGAAAGTTGGAACTAATCGAAAAAAGTCCATGAATTACACTTTTTTTCTAATTTCGTTATTAATAATGCTACCGTGTTATAATGGTACTCTATCGATTCCTTAGGTGACAAGGAACAATTTGTATATCTCAGAATTTCGGAAAAGTGCCTAGTTTTCGAGAAAATCGAGATTCTCTATTTTTGTAGTTCCAACTTTCACCGCTAGATGGACGGCAATTTTTTGGTCCATGAAATGGGCTATTTTCCTATTTTCTTTAATGAGGGTCCTAGAGGGTTATGAAAGTACTCATTCGATTCCGTAGGCGATAAGGAACAATTTGTATATCTCAGAATTTCGGAAAAGTCCCTAGTTTTTGAGAAAATCGAGATTTTAGTTTTTCGTAGTTCCGCCGCTCGCCGCTAGATGGCGCCACCTGTACCGTTTTCCGACCGAATTCGACAAAAATTGATTTTCTGGCTTTATTAGGCATCAAAACGCATCAAACCCTAATAGAAATTTGTTTCTAAATGCCTCAGGAACCATACTACGTCGCCAAAGTGGCGAAATATTGCACTTTACATGTGCAGTAGAATTGCATAGGCAGCTCATGTACTTACGTATCGGAGTGCTGACACAAAATAATTAATTACTCTTTACCCGGACATTATTTATGAACTTTTATGATCGAACCATGTAAATAATGCATTGCTGACCATTCTTCAATCATTAAAGTGCAGAAAATATATCCAAAAAACGTGTAATTAATTTTTCAAAGTGACCTCGTGTATACCTCTTGTCACCGTAGCTGGCCTTAGGTTATTAGTTAATAACTAATTAATTTCATAAAAAATCTGAAGAAATATGATACGAGAAAGTAGCTGAGGGATCATTGAACATTCTTTTATAATAAAAGTGCGTAAGTTGTGTATAGAAAATGTGTTATTAATTATTTCAAATTAGCTGATGCGTACGATGTATTTCGCCGACTTCGTGTAGGATATTAATTAATAACTAATTGTTTACAATAAAAATGTGAACATATGTGATATGAGAAAGTAGCTAGGGAATCACTGACCATTCTTTAATCATAAAAGTTCATAGACTGTGCTCGGGAATCACTGACCATTCTTTAATCATAAAAGTTCATAGACTGTGCTCGGAAAGTGAGTAATTAACGATTTTGCATAGTGATTATCGTGTATATTCCTCCTGCGCGCCGGCCGAAAAATGTTTACCACTCCAATGTCATTCCCTATATCATCGACGAGATACAAACCTCGTCCATGATGAAACGATGTTACCGAATGTCGTTAAATTCTGTCCCTAAATTATTTACCCCATTTTATTTAAATTACAATACATGATTGTTATCCGATCGTTTTAAAATATGTTATTAACAGCTGTCGATTGATAAATAACTGGAAAAAATTGCGATAAAAGTACATTCTGTATCCTACATACATTGCATAATTTGCTTATACTTTTTGTAAGTATTATATATAGATACGGGTACATTCTTCGGATCTGAACAAAGAATTATTATGGCCTTTCGTTATTTGAAGTTTATTATTTGTTGTGTAAAAGAACTTAATTATTTTTAAACATGTCATATACATATATCGAGGTCAAAGTCCTTTCCAAGTATGACAATGTTTTAGGTTAGGTTGCTATCCACGTTTGCACGCATGCGCATTCACCGGCGTTTTCACTGTATATTGTAAAGTATTAGCGGATTTGGATTGTTTTGTCGGACGTGTTTAGACAATATTTTAAAAAATGTCACAGTATAGATTATTAAGTACCGCTCTTCGTTTTTCACGCATAAATAAAAATGTTATAGCACAAACAGGTAATTATATACAAATAAAGGGAATCACATTATCTCCCATTTACAGAAAGGAACCTTTGCTCCTTGTTAACTAACGTATCGGTTATCATTACTTGTATGTCAGACAAGCCAAATATTATACGAATATTTCATTATGATTTAAGCATATGAAACAAACTAATGCAATGAGAAAACGTTACAAATATTTATTTGTGTACCTTAATTTAAAAACTTTACGATTCTAAAAATATATAATCTTTATGTAAATATTATTCTATCGTTTCATATTTTTATATAAATAAATTATATGTATTCAGTGTTTTATTCCGTAACAAAGTGATAGAGTATTAGATTTTGACTATTTCTTTCTTTAGTTGTACTTATTTGTGTTTTGTTTTGCAGCATTATATCCAACATTCAGAACATTTGCAAACACAGCTGGCACGAAACATTTGAAGTACAAAGTTGTAGATAATGTAGCAGTACTTACTATAGACTCCCCAGGAGCGAAGGTGCGGTTGAATTTGAATTATAATTAGCAAAATAAGCAACAATAATTTAAATATTGCAACGGTTTAAAGCTTTTCATGTTGTAGGTCAATACTTTGAATGAGGAAGTAATGAATGAAGTTGCAGCAGTTTTGCAAAATGTACAAACAGATTCGACTATAAATTCTATAGTTCTTATAAGCGGGAAGGCAGGATGTTTTATTGCAGGAGCAGATATTACTATGATACAGGGTTGTAAAACTGCCGATGATGGATATAAAATATCTTTTGATGGACAACAAATTTTAAACGCCATAGAAAAAAGTTACAAGCCGGTTGTAGCTGCTATACAAGGGAGCTGTTTGGGAGGTGGCCTCGAAGTAGCTCTGGCATGTCATTGTCGATTAGCAGTTGACGATCAAAAAACCAATTTAGGCTTACCGGAAGTAAAATTAGGTCTTTTACCTGGAGCAGGAGGTACGCAAAGGCTACCGCGGTTAATATCGCTGCCTAATGCTTTAGATATGGCTCTCACTGGAAAAAATGTTAAGGCGGTTAAAGCTAAGAAATTTGGACTGGTGGATATCTTGGTAAATCGTCTTGGTCCAGGTATCGGAACGCCAGAAGAGAAGTAAGTATGTTTCTATTAAGGCAACGTATATTTAATAGATCGAGAAATTATTATAATATTTCAAATATTCACAGCACTATGAGATACTTAGAGGAGACAGCTATTCAAGTCGCGAAAGATGTTGCAAATGGAACTTTAAAAATTGAAAGAGGTCCTAAAACTTTGCCAGACAAATTAATGAAATATGCTCTCTCTTATAAATTTATTAAGGATCAAATATTTAAAAGAATAAAGAACGAAACAATGAAGAAAACGGGAGGTTTATACCCTGCTCCGCTTAAGATTTTAGACGTAATACGTACTGGTCTAGATAAAGGACCAGCTGCTGGTTATGAAGCAGAGGCCAGAGCCTTTGGTGAATTAGCGGTTACGCCGCAAAGCAAGGGCCTTATAAGTTTATTCTTTGGACAGACCATATGTCAAAAAAATCGTTTTGGTACACCTAAAAGTGCTGTTAAGTAAGAAGATTTCGTGTATAAATCCGTTTGCGGGTAATCAAGTTGTTCCGGGAAGGTAATCGTTCATGTATTCTAGAAAAGTTGCTGTTGTTGGTGCTGGCCTAATGGGAGCGGGTATTATTCAGGTAAGCGTAGATAAAGGTTTCGACGTAGTTATGAAAGATACGAACCAAGTAGGTTTGTACCGTGGAATAAACCAAATACAAAAAGGAATGGAGACTGCCGTAAAGAGGAAAAAGTATTCCGGGTTGGTTTCAAATATTTTTCTTATTGTATGCACAATGCTAATGTGGATATACTTAAAAGTATTTTACTTTCAGTATTCAAAGAGACAAGTATCTTGCTCGGCTAGATGCTACTTTGGATTATAATTCTTTTAAAAATGCAGATATCGTAATTGAAGCTGTCTTTGAGGATATAGCAATAAAACATAAAGTTATCAAAGAGATCGAGGCAAACACACCGCAGCATTGTGTAGTCGCAACGAATACATCGGCAATTCCCATTAATAAAATTGCCGCTGGTAGTAGTCGACCAGATAAAGTAAATATTAAACATCATCCATGCTTTAATCGTAAAATATGCGTGTTATGTTCGAACGTATATTTTACGGATATCCTAGGTATCCGAGTAGTTACGCATTTAGATTCAAACGCGATTAAATAAAATGTGTATTCGCAGGTAATTGGAATGCACTACTTTTCTCCGGTGGACAAAATGCAGTTGTTGGAAATAATCACTCATGACGGTACATCGACCGAAACTATTAAAACCGCAGTTGATGTAGGTTTGAAACAAGGTAAAGTAGTAATCACTGTGGGAGATGGTCCTGGATTTTATACAACCCGAATTCTATCCGCCATGTTATCCGAATCTGTTAGATTAATGCAGGTAAAACGAATTTGCTTAAATTATTGAATTATTCAAGAAAATGAGAATGACGATATCGAACGTTGGAACAGGAAGGTGTAGATCCTACGGATTTGGATAGTATGATTAAGAAATTCGGATTTCCCGTTGGACCAGCCACTTTGTCCGATGAAGTGGGTATCGATGTTGGTGCTCACATAAGTGCGCACCTTGTACAAGCATTAGGTGAACGGTTCAAGGGCGGAGATGTAACTATACTCAGTGACATGGTTAAAGCTGGTTTTCTTGGTAATTTCTTTATCTATTTTCATATAGATTTTTATAATGTATACGTTGCTTTAACGCAGTATATATTAATTATTTTAGGTCGAAAATCCGGAAAAGGAATATACATATATGAAACTCATACGAAGCGTAAGAATATTAATCTCGAAGCATTAAATATTTTGAAGGGACATCAACTTGAACCAAAAGGAAGTACTTCGATCGAAGACCGTCAATTGAGAATGGTGTCGCGATTTGTTAACGAAGCAGTGCTTTGCTTAGAGGAAAATATTTTGGCTAATCCTGTGAGAACAACTTGCATAAGAGTATTAATGTATTAAATCGCGTGTGTTATAATGACTTTTTTTTGCAGTTGGAAGGTGATATAGGCGCTGTTTTTGGGCTAGGTTTTCCTCCATTTACCGGTGGCCCTTTCCGTTGGGTAGATTACTATGGAGCTAGCAGATTAGTTAAAAAAATGGAGGAATTCCAGAGTCATTATGGCGATGCATTTAAACCGTGTCAGATGTTGTACGATATGGCGTCCGATCCAAGCAAGAAATTCCATAAACAATAATAAACGTGCCTATGCAACGAAAGTGATCACGTCACGCGAGATTCCGATGATCACATAACATTTATGAGAATTACGATTATAATATTTGAAAGTACTATATTTTTTGATAAATATGCATCCCTCTCTATTTGATCGTTTTTGGATATTCTTCAGCAGAATCAATGCAAAGTAATTTATATAGAAATGTATATTTATTATGGAACTTTTATACGATATATATTTTGCAAAAATGTTTATATAATATTTTTACGCTATAATATATAGAAATACGAACTAGATATGTATATGTATATTTTTTTTAAACACGTGTACTGTTTACCATATACAATACCATAAAATATAGTTTATTAAAAAATGTTAGTAATAAATACTCGTGCAAAACGAAGTAGTTTACTTCTGTCTTCATTCTATAAAGTAACAACTGTAAAAATTGCGTGAGTGTACATCATTCCGTATCAGGGTGCTCACTAATGAATAACCGATACGCGTATACGAATAAAATTATCGCCTAATTAACATTTTTTATTTCCTTTGAATTACGAAAGAAGTAGGAGTGGAATTCTGGTTCTTGATGCAATGTTTAGGAAATGTTGCACTTTCTGATGTGCATTTGCTAATGAGGATAAATACAATCTCGATTAGACGATATTAATAGCTAAAATGAATGAAACAGTCTGCGTTTGCCTATAATGTATTATTTTCGCGAATTGTTGAATCGTTGCACAATTCCAACGTGTCGGAAGTTTAAAAATTGCAAGGTTTAAAAATAACATAGTTCCGAAGGTCCAAAGTTTTGCATTGTCAAAACGAACAAATTCCAAAATGCTTTAATCGTAAAATGAAAAATTGAAAGGTCCGAAAGTTTCGATATTCCAATACTCCGAAACTTGAAAGCTTCAAAATTTCAAACTCTCCGAATTTCGAGGTCGAAATTTACAAAATCGCAAGTTCGTAAAGTTTAATAGTTTCAAAGATCCAACGTTGAAAGATGACAGATTATTCTACTAAATTGACTAATACTACGTTTACAAGGGTAAAGATAGATTTGAAGAAAAACAAATGAGGGTAATCAAGAGGACATTTTACATCATCTACCGGTCCCACACCTGTTTGTGACATTTACAATATTAAAAGAGATCGAGTCCTTGGCTGACGCAAGAAACCACGATGTTTCGTGAGAAGCCATTAACAAGGATCATGTCTTTAAGTTGACCAATACAATTTCGTTCTATAATAGTTAATTAAGATCACGAATAACAGATTACATACTTCTTTTTAACTTCGAGCTCGAATATCTAATAATATCTTATTGTTTATGGTTTAAACGAAATAAAGAAATTAATAATTAAATTTTTATTAACTAAGATCCGAATTACGCGATCAAAAATAATAAAGTATATAATAATAAAAAAGACGATTATCAGTCATGAAAGTTTGGAAACAGAATATTATAGTGTTAGTTGAGGAATAAACACTTTTAATAATTCGAGGAACACGAACGAATGACGAAGGTTTATCTAATTGCACTTAACATTAACGTAAATACATCGTCACACATTATGTGTGAAAAGTGATACATTTATTAATATCTAATTATTTAAAAAAAAAAAAAAAAAACACTTCGTGTTAACCAACGATAACAAAACGCTTATGAAACTTTTACTAATTTGACGGTCGTGTATTATATTTCGTGGAATTTACTCTTGTAATTTTCCTTATAAGTGTGTGTATACTACTAAACTGAAAAAGATTATACCGACAAAATTAGAGTAGATGTAAGTTTAACAAAAATTTTACGTTTTAGCCAGAAAAACAGAAATAATCGAAATACTACTGTTATTGTGCCGTTAAGATGTAGTCGTTTCGCAATAAATTTCTACATTTACCGATAAATCCTTTAAGAATGGAAAACAAACGTTTGAAATTCGAAAGCAAATTGTGTGGAGTTTACAGAGTGCGAGATTGTATCCACGCATTTGTACGCGATCAACCTCTTTCTATGATGCGTGATGGAAACTTTTTGCTTTGATATAAGCAGTTGTTCGTTACATTATGCCACGTTCAAGCTATCACATTCAATAATTTTTATTTCGAACACCGATACGTTCGTTTACTAAAAGGGAATCGAACTTATACGTACAGTTTTCGAATCAGAAATTGTAGCTGAAAGTTCGGGAAGGCTATGCGACGCGTATCTTGTTATTACTACTATTTTACTCTTATTATTTTCTAATACTAAATAGATAGTGAGAAGAAATATGTAGGACGGGCAATCGTGTCGGGTAAATAAATATATGCTAACAATAATTTTACGAAAGTATATAAGTCATTTAATTAATCTGTCATCGCATAGAAAAATCTTAGAAACTTATCTTTATACAATGTAAAGTCATGTTGTCCGGCAGTTGAGTTCAAACCGGACACGATATATGTATATACACATTATATGATCTATAATTAACACGTATAACTAGTCGGCAATAATGAAAACAGCATAACTGTTGAATTGTTGCATAGCCGTTATGTGTATATATATATGTATGTGTGTATAATTGATAAAAATCGTCTTTGCACTTTTAAATAAATACTCTTTCTCGATCAACGCGCTTATGCATCACAGATCACAGACACACTTAGGTACTTGGTTCACGGACGGTAAAAAAAGCCTCGTTTTCCTGACTTATCGTACCGCTCCTCGTGCCTTAAAGTTCCTACTATTTATTTCTTTGTTTTTAAGTACTTTATCCGGTTAACTCGTTTCGAACAATCACAATGCGACACACGTTACGAAGGCAAGAGGGAGCTCACTTCTAACTTATCGTAGTTCATTTCGAATCAGCTATTTTTCCCGCCAATATTTTCACGCTTACGACGCCTCTTTACACGAGCTTTTTCGGAGGACATCTCTGTGTTTATTGCATTGATTAAAATTTCACTTTCGCGCAATTTCTCCGCAACGGTCAGGATGGTTTTCACTTTAAGCCGCCAATTGCGGAGGAATTATCTGCTGAGTGGGATGCGTTAGTCGTGGCGCTATAACCGGAAACAAGCTTACCCTCAAGGGCGCGGGCGTGACTTGGGTAACGGAAGTTGGAACTCCGTTGCCACTGACCGACGAGGACCTATCTCTGGCGTGCCGTTTCACGTGTTTCGCCAAATGGTCGCTTCTCATAAATCTCCTCTGACAAACGGTGCAAGCGAACTTCTTCTCTCCGGTATGCGTACGTTTGTGTCGCGAAAGTTCGTCGCTTCTCGAGAATCGTCTGCTGCAGTCTTTGTAAGGGCACGAAAAGGGCCGTTCTCCCGTGTGAGTTCTCGTATGAGCTTTCAAATGAGACGATTTGAAATAGTTCTTGCCACAACCTGGATGCTCGCATTCGTAGACGCGTCGTCGCGTAGCGGCTTCCGGGGAAGATATAGTGGACGTCGCGGTGGTTGTAGGTGCAGTTACTAACAAGAGAGGAGTTCGCGGAAGAACCAAAGGGGATCCGAGGAGTCCGGTTACCATGATCGGCGCAGGCTTTGGTGCTAGAGGATGTAGCTTTGGCTGGGCGGATTCGCGATCCGTGTTCTTGTTGTTCACGATGATCTCTTCTTTCCGTAGGCTCATTTTGAATTTTAGACTCTTCAAGATGTTCTCCGATTCTGGAACGCTACGCTGCGTGATCGGCTCTGACGGACCGTAGACTCGTTGAACCTCCGATAGAGGTGATTGGGAGTACATTGATGTGGTCTTTGGTGTCAAGTTGGCGGGACTGTAGGTACCGTCCCGGTTGGCACGCATGATGACCGACACACGGGCTGGTTCTGGACTCGGAGGTGGTGTGCCGTCTAACAGTAGCTGATCAAGAAAATGAAAATAAATAAATAAATTTGTTTCGTGTTTAATTCTTTCGTGCATGGCATTCTACCATGGCTACTAAAGTTCCAACATTTCCAAATTTCACGAGGGGATTAATGGATTTATTTGGAGGAAATCAAATTTTCTTAATAATAAATTAAAAGCCATCTATTTAAGATAACGTTTGGAGCTTCTACTACCGTCAGACGGTATGAAACATTGGCTCGAAGGATAAATGACAAAAATGGTAAATGTACGAGTGAATGCACGCTGTAAACGAGGTCATCTTGCAAAACAACTCTATAATGCGTTCGCGCATGCGTACGCTCGTCGGAGTGGCCAGTCAATCGCGTGTGGAGAAAAAAAATCAAAAAAATAATATTCTGCATTTGCGACGCGCAGAAAATAATTTGCAAACAATACGATATTTACCTTCGCTAATTCGCATTGTTCCACGCATTTCCGTTTCCGAAGAGGTTCATCTTCCTCTGAATCGGAAGGCTGCGGAGTCGGAGGTAAACCGGGTCGTGCATTTCCCTCGTCTCCTTTTTTCGAGTTTATATCGACAATCGTTTTCTGCGGAAGCTTGTCCGCCAATAATGCCGCGACAGTGAACGAGGACTGAAGTGGTTCCATCTGCGACAAAGAGAAATAATTTGTTAAATTACGGCACAACGGAGTAGCTCTTTCAAACCGAACGAAACTACGAAACGCTTGTACAATGGTTGTTAATGTATATACATAAAACGATAGAACGTACGATGGGTAGCGAAGTAAAGGAAAATTAAACGTATAAAGAATAAGCAGATAAATTGTTGTTAGCAATAGGTTGGGGCTGGGTCGTCGATTCCAGCTGCGTTCGTATTTCGCGGGCGGCTAGCTCGGCACACGGTGGCGGTATTTTTAATTTAGCGTACACTTACGTGTTTGAATTGGGGCGAGGCTGGTGGCGAAAGTGGCGTCTGATTAGAATCCATTTTTCGTTGGGATTAAAAAAGAATGTTCCGTTCGCGAAAGAGGCTCGTCCAGAGACGAGAAAACGCTGTCTCGCGTGTGAAAAAAGGCGTACGGTAGGCAAACCGTTGAACGTCTGGTAACGCAATGAAGCTTTCTCAGGTCGGCTGGCTCGACACACCGTGGCCGTGGTGTGCGTGATCATGCGGCGCGCTTCCGGCTGACCAATCGCGTCGAGGGGCTCGCCGTGGCCGACCAATCACAGGGCCGCTATCAGCCAGCGACCGCGTGATCACCGGCGTGCTGTTCACGTGCTTGCGGTCTGACTGAGGCCGTGATCATGACGTCAGTCTGCGTGGCGTGCTCGGTCGATACGTCATGGTATCGCTTAGCGCTCCAAGCGTCATGCAACTACAACCCTCCTACGCCTCCTTCGAAATGCTATCTGACTCGCTCTCTCTATCGCTCCGCCTTTTCCTGCGATTCTTTATCGGTGGACCAGAAGCCACACCGCGTAACGCCTGGTCCACATTATCGATTTACTCACGATCAATTATTATTCTATTATTTAGATTCTATGTCAGATTTTACACTCGGCGTAACGTTTCGCCGAGACACGTACGCGCAGACATGTGCAGCGTAGATAAAGAAATAAGAATAAGAAAGTGCAGGGGATTTTAGATTAGATTCTACGACCGATCTACGTATGATTTTTCTAGGTTTGTATGGTATTTTCTTTCTACGATCCCCCTTTAAGATCTTTCCGATTTCTCTGGGATCTCGTTCAGAAGTTTCTTTTTGCAATGTTCGTAATTTCCTTCCAGGTTTTCCTCGGACACCCCTAAGTTTTCCCCGGTATTTTCCTAGGTACAACCGACGATCTCCCCGGGTTCTCTAACATCTCTTTCGGGATCTTTCGAATTTAGTCGAATTTTCTTAAGTTTTGTCTACATTGGCCCTAGATAATTCCTATCGGGATTCCCTGATATCGTAACTTGGATATCGTGAGCCGCTGAATTACTGCCATGTACGCGTATTCCTGTAATGTCTATGTTTCGGTGGATAAACGTTTACTTTTACTTTCCATCGTATCCAACTTCCACAACGACGGCTTCCCCTTATCACTCGTAAATTTTCAATCGATTTCATTTCGCAACGGCACGACTGCCGTCACACTCGAGAGGCGTTTTTCATGGGAGCGACGCACACGCGTGTAACCTAACGGAGAGCGTCGTACGAGTAACTGAAAAGTCTGGGGAAGCGAGGTCATCGGGAGGTCGGATTTCAACGAGGAAGCATTCTGGTGCAGTCTGTCGTTAAATATATCGGCCGCCCACTTCACCGCTGGTTAATTCGAATCCAGCTCGGTCAGTGTTGGTCTTTGACTCTCTCGTTCGTCTTCTTGTCCGCCATTATTCTCTTCTCCTGTAGTATTTTCCAACAGCGATCGCTGTTCTTTTCGTTCTTTTCGACTAATTATGTACTCCAATTGGTCGATCGAACTTTCGCGCGGATACCAATGCGAAGCAACGTTTGTCCGATGTACGATCGACTAACAGGTTGAAACTTTGTCGTGTCGAAAGAAAAACGAGCGAGGCACGAATAAGAGTAGTAACGAAAGTGGAACTATTTTATCGTTAGCCCGATGTTATATTTAGCTATTGTCACTCTGTCTTTATTATCCTTTAACGCGTTTCGAACGTTTACGATTTTCCTGAAGGTCGTTTGTCACAGTAGATAATCGCTGCAGTCCGCGGCTACGGGGAATAGATAATTCGTACGAGGAATGGTTCCTTCCGTTTATTACAGTTATTCTCATTGTCGTTTAGCGGCTTTCTACGATGCGCGTTGAAGTAGAGAATGCATTTAGAAACGATATAACATTTCTATATATTATCATAATGCAATTATAAATAAAAATACTAGGTGTGAGATATAGGTTTATTTTAATGTAATATACATCTTTATGTACTTTTACATTTTGGTCACGTACCAACGAAATGTGGAACTGTTAGGCGATATCTAATGGTTGGCTCATAAACAACAAGCTGACAAGTGGTGTTTATTACGCGTCGTTCATCTAATCATTTGTTAGACTGGTACCGACTGTGGTTTCCACCTTGAAGACGCGCCTATCGCGAGAATCGGCTGTTTCCTCGTTCTAAATACCGTCTCTCGTTAGACTTCGAGATTTCTTCGTGGCCTTCGTTCGAATGCAACGTCTGTGCGTACTTTACGTATATCGCTAACCTTATAGGCGATATTCGCTATTTAATATTCATATATTGTCGTCTGGACATTCGAGATTTTCAGATTTTCCAAATTTTTCGCTCAGGTGTCGTAGAACTTTCGCATTATTAGAATACAAATTACAACATCAGATACAACGTTATTGATGAAATGGTTTTTATTCGAGTTAAAAATAAAATATCCTTGTGCGTCAATAGTTAATTACAGGTTCCTGTTTGTTCGCAGCGAGTTTAAAGTGCGTCAGTACGTTCGCACACCTCGATATAAAGAGTGATTAATTAGGATTAGGAAAGGGTGCGATACGGTGTAACACCGAGTGCGGCAAGGTCGTGGTCGAGTCCACCGAAGGAAGCGAAAGCGCAGCACTTTTTCATTTTTCATTCGATACGAATTTCGAGGAAGCCTAAAAATATCGTCCAGGATGTTTCTTGTCTGTAGACAGACTCGTTTTAAAAACAAAGTCAACGACACTTTTGCGGAGTTAATGCCGATAAAGAGAAGAGAAGCGACGTATGTACACGATCGCTGATCACGAGTTCGACGAATGACTCTCTTCCCGTCTATCGTGGACGCTCGTAGCCTTTGAATTCGCGAAATCGGTGAGACGCGTGCAGCTCACGAGAATCGATACGCGGTTTAATTAAAGAACGTGAAATTATTAAAAGCAACGGCCAGTTGGTGCTTTAGACGGACACCGATAATGGAACAAGGAAAGCATGGCTATTCGTTTCACGATACGAGGATGTTCGTTACGAAAGAAACGATTCCTCGTATTTCCAATAATCCCGACAACCCCCGTTGATCTTCAACGGCAATTTTAGCATGAAATTTTCGATACGTTTTATCGAGACGATGACGATCTATTAGCGAATAGATCGAACTCTTTACCGATGGTCGGAGCAAGGAACGAAGGAACAAGAATTTACATAGTAATATTCCATGCGATTGCCTGGTACGTGATAAGAGACACGCTCAAAAAGTATACTATAGATAAGAAACCGATGGATGTACGTAGACAGTCGCGTAGACGGCGAATCAAACAATTTTCTTGTACGCACGCGTTCACCTGTATTCGCGATGCAACGAATCGCGGACTAACTCGAAATTAAAACTGGTCGAATGACTGTGTTTGTTTCGATGGTCAGCTCGGTTCGACAAAATGCGCTATTCCTTGACGAATTGTCCCGATTCGTGTTGTATAACGAACCACCGGGGAATGCTCCATTTTCAAAGCCGATTACGTTTTCTCGAAGGGCTTCCACTTCGGGAACCACCAATTTCCATCGAGACGCATAAGATAACGTTCTGAACCGTCAGCCGTTATCGACCAAATAACCCGTGGCAATATATACAGAGAGTCCGACGGACATATCTCGTCAACGAACGTCGACATTTTAATTTTGATCGGTTCAATTAAATATTAATAATAAAAAGTTTGTTCGGTTCACGCGATCGCCGAAGGCTCGTCCGCCAACACGTGCATCCGTCGATCGAGTTCATTCAGGGGCTCGAACGTCATCGGCGTTTTTGTTGCACCAGTACCGTATGCTAAATTATTCAACGATCGATACTCGAAGGAAAGATTTGCCATTGGAAAATAATGAATGTTTCACGGCAAAGCGATTAGAATGTATGTATACTGCTTTCACGTTCGGTTACGTTATCGTAATACTAATACATGTACGACACCCGTTCCTTCCTGTGTGCATCATCTTCTTTTTCTCATAATTTCCTTTCTTCGTCGATCCGAAGAATCTCTTGATAGAATTACAAGTATCTTGTTTGTTAAATACATGGCGTCGTTGCCGCTTGTTTTCGTGCAAAGACTATCGTTAAAAACTTTATCTTCTTATTTCTGGATTTGGCCGTGGAATCAACCTTCGACCATTTTATGGCGTTAGGTTGTTACGGAATTTGCATAGACGGCGCATCTACATGTTCGGCTTTCGTATTCGAGGCGTGTCTGATATTGATCTGACGGACCATCGTTACATTTTTATTCGTCTCTTTCGCTATTTACACGAGGCTGAGTGAAATTTTTATTTCTGCAAATATTTCCACTTTACGCTTTATTCGAGTATGAAAACAATTTTCGTTCGATCTTCCGGCAAAATCGGGCTACAAGAAATTTGGGAGCCCCTTGCTGCCTCCGTCAAAGTTACCCGAGATGTACCTGTAACAATACGATCAAATAAATAACGCGAAATAACATCTTTACTTCGTGTAAAGCAGTGCTCTTGCTAGTGAAATAGTCAGAACCCTTTGTAGGAGGTGTATGCATATACGGTGTCGAGTAAACAGGTGATATACATTATTACATATTGGCCGAAAATGATGCGCGTTTAAATGGAACACGAGAGCTTTGTATTGCAGTTGAACCGTTTGAGATTCGATCGTGGGTGAATTCGATGCGCCATCCGTATTTGGTCTGGTGGTTGGTATAAAAATAGCACGTATCGGTACCAGTAGCGGAAATAATTGGTCTTTGACTTGTTTACGTTTAAAGAGAAACAGTGCCTCGTGAAAATTTTGATCGACTGGGGAATATTTTTAATAAACAAACAAGGAAGATAAAAATGTTTTGTACGGAAGCTGTAACCTTGAGCGAATGATTCCTAAAACGATGAACACGCTCCGTTCGATTTAGAAACGTTAAGAATGAAGTGCTCGGGAAACGATAAGTCAAGTATTTATCGAAAATTTATTGCTTCTCTATGTAATCGACGCGATTCGCGATTCGAACGTGTTTCTTACAACTAAAGGAAATGTTAGTCGGTATAAATACTATCATTCGTATCTGCTTTCAAGTTTATCAAGCTTGTACTTACGAATAGTAATGCAGTAAGCTTCGATATCGACTGGCAGAAAATTTACAAAGCATTCGTAACGTTATCAACATTGAGATTTGAAATGGGAACCACG